CTAGAAGGAGGGGGTCGGTGTTGTGCTGGGGCCACCCATTGAAGAGGGCACTCTGAGCTGGCTCCTTCCATCCTGGCTGGGAGTCTTGACCAAGGTAGAGGGAGAAAGTCTTAGGAGCTGCTCGCTTTCCACAGGTTATCTCACTTCCCTCGATCAAGAACCCACAGCATTCTTTCCTTAAAGGAGAGAAAATCGAGACCCAGCGCCCAGAGTTTTCGAGTCCAGGCCTGAGAATCAAAGCTGCGTCAGTGTTGCGCAACAGTAGGTGCTCTCGCCCAGCACCCCTATCCTGGCTGGTGGCTGGAGAAGACTTTACTCTAGAAAAAGGGGAGGAAGGACAGAGATGGGACTGGTATTGTGATTCATTAACAAGTATATGCTCTGAGAATCCCATTTGGGGCCCCCAGGACTTCACAGGGGCACAGCTTTTGTGTGACGGGGTGGGAGGTCTCTTCCGAGGTCTGAGTCATGCCAAGCACATGGCTTTGAAAGTAGACAGCTTCTAACGGCTTAGGAAGGCAAAGGCGGAGGCGGCACGTCCTTCTGACTGCACGTCCACAGCTTCGGAATGGAAGGCTCCATTGGACGCCTTGCACTGTTTAAAGACAACAGTATTTCAGGATATTCCAGGATGTGCTGTTTTATCTTATTTGTCTGCCACCCAGTGATCAGGCTAAAACCACCAGTATAAATGCCAGTAAGTTCTACATAAACTGCAGGGGGAGGGGGGAATTAAGTGGACAAATAAGGGCCCCTTGTTGTATTTTAGTTGAAACTTGAAAAATGACTCCTAGTGTCTTTTCATATTACCGTTTCCAAGTCCGTTTTCCCAGGAAAAAACAGGATGTTAGTGAGAGCCAGCTAAGTGTTCTAATGGAAGCAATAGGATGGAGGATTTGAAGCGCAGCTGCTCAGAATGTGTCTGGGCCATCGGGTGACTCTCCTCAGTGGCGATTTCAGTCCATATTTGATGTGAGGTTTGCCCTTAGAACCACATTCATGTAATACCCACTGGCATCTCGAACTGAACTAGCCCATTTTATGCAAGAGGAGCACTAAAGTGCCCTGGGTCTGTTTCCATGGCATCACACTTGAGCACCCCCTTCTGGAATCAGTTATCAGATAGGGAGGTGAAATCCTCCCTGACTAGCCCCGAAGCCAGATCTGAATTTGGACTTGATCCCCAGTGGCACAGAGATCCCTCTTCCCCTGGAATCGCCTTCAGCCCTTTCCTGCTGAGGGCTTTTGACATAATTTCCACCGATCTGTGATAGGGCAGTGCTCCGGAAGCTCTAGGTATGGTCCTCACATGCGTTTTCAGTGCTGGGGGGCTATCCTCTCTCTCTCTTTTCCTCCCCGCCCCCCCAAGTTTTCGGGCATGCATCCTATCCATCTGTTTGTACACTGTCCCCTCAGAAGACTGGGTGCTGCCTTTCCTCCCTCCTTCCCCAAACAGATGCAGCAGTACCCAGTTGGTTTCAGGCTGCCTGCCGCTCTCAGGACTTTCCTCATTGTTTGTCCCACCTTTTCTCCTTCTCAGATCAACAACAAAGCTTGTGGCCAAATCCCAGTGCCCCAACAAGTTGCCCAGGACCAGGACAAAGTGCACGAACTTGTTCTCCAAAGCGAGCTAGGCATCAGGCTCTTGCAGGGCCGAAGCATCAAGAAGGCCTTCCTCTCCCCCAGAACCGCACTCATCAACTTCCTGGTGCAGGAGTGACTACAGGGAGGCTGCGGCCACCGCCGAGGCCTCTTCCCAGCCCCAGGATAAAGGGGAAGTCTGCTGGCCCAGGGAAAGGGAAAGACAAGTCTTAAACACCCATCTTCATTGCCATGGCAGCCTCGTGTCACCGGTGTGCTCGGCATGTGGCCTCATACAGGGGTGAGAGTGGGGGCTGGCATGGAGAAACAAGAACAAAGGGGGAGGGTGGAGAAACCCCTCTGGCCCCATGTGAAGCCATCTGCTGGGCGGAGTGGAGAGGAGAAAAGACAAGCCCATGAGACTGACACACGGTCTCTCAAGCAGCTTGGGAGCTTCTGAATCCCCCGATTGCATTGCCCTGGGCACACCACAGGAACATGAGTCTCAACTGAGGAGCCACATGTGACTCCTGCAGTGTGGAAATCACTGTTCAACAAGGGGAAGTGACTAAGCCTCTGTATCACCATGAACTCCAGAAGGAATAGACACTGGGGACTCCCGAAGTCGCTCAGAACTGAAAGGCAAGCTGTGCTAGTCCTGCCAGTGCCCTCCGCCCCACCTATGTGTGGTCACTGCTGCGCCGGCTGCTGCTCCCAGCTGGATGTGCCCTCCAGGCCTGCTCTGTGGTGGGCACACAGGCTTGGGAACCAAGCTCTGCTTTCTGGCTGCTTCCTCGGGGTGTGCCACTTGCTGGTAGAGAAGGAACCAGGTTGGTCCAATCTCAAATCAACCAATCTCAGCAGCCCAACAAGGGGTCTGTTCATGTGGACCCCAGATGGTGATGTTGCTTAGAAGCAGAGCCCAGAGACCATCATGAGGAAGAGCCAGTTCACTGCAGAGGAGTTGCCTGATGCTTCTGTGGACTGATTGCCCAGGAAATGGCCAGGAACGGACCCGTGTTTTGGGGGGCAATCCTGGTTTTACATGACGTCAGCAAGCAGGTGCTCTTACCAGAACTGGCCTAATTCACTGGTTAACATTTAGTGAAGCAGGAATCCAGCCTCTTTGTGATGCTGAAAATCTTATTTGTTCTCTGGTGCGATTTTTGATGTAGCCTCAGATGTGGTCCCCTGCAGTTCATCACTTAACAGATGACTTTTTTTTAATGGAATAAAATGTTTATCATGTTTGACTTTGGGGCATTTGTATGATCTGAGAATAGCTACCATATTCTAATTCTAGGAGCTAATCAGGAACAGATTGAGGTATTCCATCTTTGTCAGAAGCACTGGCTGTGTGCCTGGCTCCACATGGAATGTTATAAAGAGATGCCTGTGGAACTGGCAAATGTGGTACCCAACACTGATTCAGGCACATTAGCAATAGTGGTTAAGTCACTGGTTCTGAAACTTGACTCAAATTTAATACCACGTCTGCTCCCCAGATTTTCACAAAATTGTACATTTGATGTTCTGTTGCCCAGAAATTGGTATAATTGGCCTGAGGTGCAGTTGGGCATCAGAGGTTGTGAAAACAACACAGATGATTCTAACGGGCAACAAAGTTTGTGAAACATATGTCGCAAAGCGTTTGAACCGTAGTGTTTTATTAATCCTTCCTATTCCTATCTTCGTTGGGATGAGTTTGGTCCAAGACCAAAATGTGATGAAGTGAATTGGAAAGGAAGCAGATGGAAGGCAAGGTGGGGGCCAGAATTCTTGAGCAGGTATTTAAAGTCTTCCCAGAGTGGACTTGCGTGTACACAATCCCACTGCATTTACCAACAAATGTGGATTAAATATAAGCAAATGATGAGGACATTGGGTACAGGGAGGGAGGAGTGTTTTGCTTGATTGTCTTGTTTATTTCTAAGGTAAGCTAAGTGGCCTTGACCCAGTCAATAAGGTGACGGGTAGGGAACTTTGCACATAACTGGCCAGAGCTACAGGCCAGCAAAGTCTCAAGGCTACTGGACTGGGCACATGGCTTAGGAGAACTGTTTTCCAGCTGATAAAACTTTGGAAAACTGGTAATGCCGCGAGAGTTGGTTAATGGAACAATTGAAAGGAAGACCTGATCCCCAGCAGTTGGGAGGTGGGTTGGGGGGTGATCTCAGCACTTTACTAACTGCCTCCGTTAAGGCCAAAAGCCGGACTTAACAAGTTCACTAACTTACGTCATATCGTTTAATTCCCACAAAAACCCTGGAGTGAAGGAATTATTCTCTCATAAATATGAAGAAACCCAGGATCTGATTCAATATTTGCTCAGTTTCCATGGCACAAAAGCTCCATGGAGGAGCTGCTGGCCTCCACACCCGACACCATCCCTCTTGTCTACCAGGCCCCTCAGCTCAACCCCTTTGTTTGCAGCACTATGGTCAGGAAAGGAAATTTTTTTTTTTAAAGATTTATTTATTTATTTATTTATTTATGCTAGTACTGGGTACAGTCAGAAGTGCGGGAGGGTGAGAGAATTCACCAAAGCCAGAGCAGGGAACAGAACAGGCAGACTGACGAAGTACACTGCTGAGGGGAGCAGTGGGCGCGACAGGAGAGGTCTGTCGCGCCATGTGGGACCCTCGCCGGTGGCCGGGGATCGAACTGGTGCTGCAGAGGCTGCAGGCAACTTCGCAGCCCAGCACTCAACCACTGCGCCACCAGGGGAGGCCCAGGAAAGGAAATGTTGATGGAGGAACCAGCAATTCCAGTCGCTGGGGCTCCCCTCCTCTGAAGCCCTTGGGCTGTAAAACCAGGAAGTCACAGCAGAGCCTGTGCTGGCACAGGTGGTGGCTGAGAGGCCCAGGACGTGGTGTTGGGGCTGGGGATGACGGTTGTTGCCAAACCAGTGGGAGCCCCGGGCTCGTGAACGGTGTCAAGGTCATGTCTGTGAGGAAGTGATAGACGTGAGTTTGCACACAGAGCAAATGGTGCCCGGGAAACCCCCTGGCAAATGCGGCCACAGCAGGAGCCAATCAGATGCCAAGGAAATGAAACTGATCTCTAAAATCCCGAAACTATCAGTAATGTGGAAACCACATAGTTCTCATCCTAACCTACATACACACCTTCCTGGAGCCGGTGAAGAATGATGGGCTGCCCACGAAGATGAGTCAGCCAGCGAAAGTTTGTTTTCAAGAAAGAGATAAAATGGAAATTTTCTCAGGACGAAGGTCATATACTCATACGACTTGACCCAACCATAATGTTTTTTATTCCAACCCTTACAATTGCCCACAGATCATTGATTGAGGAAGCTACACATTTTTTCCTTATGGCTTTTTTGCAATTTCTAATTTTTATTGGCCATGTTGTATTTCAGTGTACATCAAATGTACAATTTTGTGAAACTCCAAGCATCCAGGACTTGTTCCCTTAGAACATCTTTTCTCCTAGAGTATCCAGCTGCCTACAGGATGTGCCCCAGTTAGGAAAATATGGTTCTCTTGTTGTGTGAAGAGGAATCCAAGGAATCAAAGAGTAGCCTCCGTGAAGCTACGATTTGCCTTTGTTCAGTGTGAAGAGGTGTGGGAGCACCCTCTTGTTTCTCTGCTTTAGCATCTTGCAGCCTAGGAACAGAAGAACAGAAGGCACTATTCTCCTTGTGGAACTTTCCTGTTCTTGGTGAGCATGGCAAGATGGCAGCCAAGAGCATGGGTTCTGGAGTCAGCCAGCCCCAGGTTGTGACTGTCACTTAAAACCTCAGTGACCTTGACATGCCAGAGAACCTCTCTGAGCTTTGTTTCTTTAACTATAAACCAGAAGTAAAAGTACTCGTGCCCTGGGGTATGAGAAAGTGAAAGTATATGTAAAGCTCATGCACATGATAAACTCCGTAAGTAGGAGCTGCTTATTTTTTTTGAATATTTATTGATTGATGCATGCAAGAACTTGGGTACAGGCCAAAGGTGCCAGGGGGTGAGAGGATTCACCAGAGACAGAGTGGGGAGTAGAATAGGCAGACTGATGAAATACACTGCTGAGGGGAACAGCAGGCGAGTCGGGAGAGGTCTGCTGCGCCATGTGGGTCGCCTCCCTGGCCAGGAATTGAAATTGTGCTGCAGTGGCTGCAGGTAGCTTCATAGGTTGCGTCTTAACCCCTTGCGCCACCAGGGAGGCCCCAGGAGCTACTTATGATTAATCTTGCCTGAGTCAGAATGAGCTGATGGTTTAGAATGTGATTAATGAAAGTTTAGAAAAAGATACGTCCCAGGAGCAAATGTCAATCCTGATCATGCCAGCCTGTGAAGGAAGTAATTTAACCTGTAAACTTTTGTCCCACTGGCAGAAACTGCCCTCTTGTATCGTGTTTTCATCTCATGCCCTGAAATCTTACTGTGGTGTGCTGCCCATGTCCTGATTGCATGCTTCTGGCAGCTTCTGGGAGCCTCATTATGCGACTGATTTTTCTTTGGTGCTGGGGAACCTCTTTTCCTCAAGTGATGACTCGAAGCTTTGAAAGCCCTGACAAACCTCCTAGGAACTCCCAAACTTCTTCAGAATCCACTGTGGCCACCCACTGGTGCCTGAGGACACATGGGACTGTGACATGGAAAAGGTTGGAACAAGGGACAAAGGCTGAGAGCTGGAAACTAGTCATGAACCCAGCCGGGGCCCTCAGATCAAGTCTAACTTGGCCTGGCTGCCTCTGGTGCCCAGAGTAGAAGATTTCCCCAAGGGATGTCAGTGACACTCTCTCACCAGCAGTTATTGGAAGGGGAGCTTGGAGTTTGTTGGGGCATCTTGACTGAATAGAGCAGCCATCATTCTCAGTGCCTCTGCTGCCTGGCTTGGGCCTACTGATTGATGACAGGCTGCTGAAAGCGGATGGCCACATGGTGTGAGCTGGAGAAGGTGTGGGGCCAAATAGAAAAGTTTGGAGACCCTTGCAGGCCACTCATGGCCCAGAGGCCTCTTGGCAGGCCAGTGCTCAGTCAGACACGATGGCCTCGAAACCAAAAGCTGAGTGTCAGAAATTGGCTTTGGTTTTCATTCACAGCTAATTTGGTTCCTGAGCTGAGACTCAGAGGAAGGGTTATGAGGCCACTGGGCCAGAGGTGGCCATTATTGATCACAGGCCAAAGAAGGCACAGTTCCTGCACCAGCTGGCCTGGCTCCCTGCCAGCTGCCCCTTGGCCTTTCTCCTCCTAGAAGAGAAAAGAGCAGCCAAGTTCACCAGGTATACCAGGTACCATGTACGTGGCTTTGCTACTGCTCTCGGATCCTCACATTGATGCTACCAAGTGGGAATTGTGACCCTCATTCTGTAAATAAGAAAACTGAAGCCTAGAAAAGTGTAGCTGAATCACCTGGGTCACATCACTAATAACTGTTCAAGCCTGGATTCAGTCCCATGCCTGCTTTTCTGCTCCAGCAACAACCCGCCTTCCTGGGAGGAAGAAGTGGGGTGTCTGAAGAGGAAACACAGCTTGTTCTTGGTTTTTCTGTCTAGGGAATTCTAAACTGGAACTGTGGCATGCTGTGACCCCACAGACTGTCCTTCCTTTAGAAGAGGATTGGGCTTTTGTACCCTAAATCTATCTTTGACTGTGGGCCAGTTTGTAGGGAGTATAGGTAAGAAAGCCTTGCCACTGGGGATGAAGGAACTCCCAATGGCGTATGGGAAGTTTCCAGAGAACAGCACTGCTGGGCCATCCGCCTCCAATATGCACAGCAGCTGGGGACAGGCAGGCCACCCTGCCAGGAGGATGTGGGCGGAGCCCCCAGCGACCACCACAATGAGAAAAGATGATCGTCCAAACTTGAGAAGCAGTCTGAGTGAGGAAAGGCTCTGAATAGAAGCCGGGGACCCAAGAGAAGTGGCGGGATGGATCTGAAGGAGCCACACTCCCTCTGCCTGCCTTTGTGCCCCTGGGCTGCAGCGGGGGCGGCGCCCCTGGAGTCCAAGCAGCAGTGAGACCAAACTTGAAGATGCCAGCAATCCCTTCAGGCCCAAAGAGGCCGTGACTCGCTGGAAACCATGGCAGTAAGTGAAGGGTCTCGACCCCCATCTTTGCTGATTCCACTCAGTGCCGCACCCCCTACTTTGTAGGAAAAGCTGGTAGTCTTCCAGGCAAAGTGAGCTTAGGAGGCAGTTTCCTTAAATGTGAGCCCTGCTGCACTCTAGGCCAAGGAAAGGCACAGGGGCAGACAAAAGAAGAGTATTCTCCCCTTTCTCCCTGGGAGAAGAGTAAGCAGAGAATAGCTGTTCATGGGCCAGCTTTCTCTCCATGCTGAGAGTGGGCGGCAAAGGCTCTCATCCAAACTGATGAGTTTGGAGATTGGAATCTGGGGTGACCAACAATGAGAAAGTGGGGAATCTCTCCCAGGGTGGGTGAGTGGGTGGATGGGGACAGTACTGGCAGGGCTGCCTAGAGCAGACCAGGGAAGGCCAGACCTGTGGGCAGAGGCTTCAGAACCTAGAATGGGGCCAAGGATTGTCCAGAAGGATTGACCTCACTCCAGGCCTCTATCCCATCTGCCCACATGAGGGAGGGGCGCAGGGATAATGAGGCCCTGAGGGAGAGGCGGTGGCCGGGCCTGCTGGAGTCCAGGACCTGGAACCCGGCACCCATGACTCACCTCTTGAGCCTCAAGCCCTGAGTTTGAATTTCCATTCTTGTCTGGCATCTGGAAGGGCATGCGTGTCCCAGACACAGTGTGTAGCGGCCCTGGTCTGTGATTCCCATCGCCAGCAACAATTGTTTCTAGAATTTATTGAGGAATAGTTATGTGCCGGGCCCTGTTCTGAGTGCTTTGCCACCTGAGGAACTGGGTTCAAACCACACACAAGATAGCAGAGCTGTGGCCCCACCCTGCCCCATTGCTTCCCAAGGGTACCAGCTTCGTACCTCCTGGATTTTCCAAGACAGCCTGATATCTATATTTCTCTCCAATAGTAGCCAAAGTACCCTAGACCTGCCAAGTTCACACTTCTTGGTCTGTGCTGGGAAGGCAGCTTGCTATGGGTGCCTGCCTGGGTGGGCACTCCTGGTGTTCTGAGGCACCCAGTTCAGACACCACAATATCTCTGAGCTTGGAACTGGCCACTCCCAAGGAGCCATCACCTCTGGTGGAGAGACAGAGCCTCCTTTGGGCCCTAGCAGTGAACCTAGACCTCCGTGCTGTGCTGCTATGGCAGAGAGACCCAGCCCAGGTCCGCAGTCACCTCACAGCAGTGTCTTCCCCAAAAGACCCTTTCCACATACAACAGAAGAACCTGCTATGCGGTTACCTAGGGGTACATGTCCCTGGCCCCACCCAAAGGAGAGCTCAGCAGCCTCACCAGCCACATCCTCATAAGCTGCCCTTTGAGCCAGGAAAGGGGTTCCCCTTCCTCAGCCCCTGCGAGGGGTGGAGGTTATGGAGAGTGTATGATCAGCCCTGTGGGGTCCACAGCAAGGCAGGGTCACCCAAAGAGTCATGTCACTTACAGGGTTTGGTGTGTCATTTATCAGGGAAAAGGTATGTCCCTACACTAGACACAGGGCCGGGGTGGGCCAGAGGGGCACTCGTTGTAGAGTGCCGGCACAAGGGCAGCAAGGCGTACAGGGACTGGGAGAAACAGCTGAGAAGAGGGAACCTGGGCCTAGTGTCCCTGGCCAAGCTCCATTGCAGTATCAATGACTTCCAGCTGTCAGCTAACTTCAGACTCTGCAGGAAATATCTTAGTTTTCTATTAGTATTTTAATTAACTGCTACTATGGGCCTGGTATTTTTGTCATCTCCTCCCCTCCCCCAAATTCATTTCTTGAAACCCTAACCCTTCATGTACTGATATTAGGAGGTGGTGCTGTGGGAGGTCATTAAGATTAGATGAGGTCATGAGGGCGGAGCCCCCATGGATGGCATTAGAGTCACAAGAGAGCTGTACCCTCTCTTTGTTCTTGGCCATGTGAGGACACAGCAGAGGTCAGCAGGCTGCAACCTAGAAGAGCTCAGCAGACTTCAGGAGCTCAGCCTCCCTGGCACCCTGATCTCAAACTTCATCCTCCAGAACTGTGAGAAATAAATTTCTGTTGTTTATAAGCCTTTGATACTCGGCATGGCAGCCTGAACCAAGCAAACTATTAACATCTTAGTCATCAGCAAATACCTCAGGGGCTGTGAATGTAGTAGACCTCTAGGTTGTCAGCTGCTCAGGTATAAGCTGATAATAAGCTTTCAGTTATTACAGGCAGTACTTCAATGGTGTTCTAATGCCTTCATGGTCTACTAATGCCTGCCTAGCAATCATCATTAGCAATAAAAAATATTATAGGCTGACATAATGTAGTTATAATAAGCAAACCCCTAAACTTCAGTGATCACACACAGCAAATACTATTTCTCGTTCCCATAATCAAATCCTTTGGAGCAAGGAGCAGGGTTCCATTCTGTTCCAACGTAATGGAGAGACCGAGGTTGATGGACCCTCCACCATCTTCAACCCTTGGTTTTCAAGGTTGCCCAGGACATGGATATCTAGCACATAGAGAAGGAGAGAGAGATAGAATTTCATCTGGAGATTTTTATGGGCCGGGTATGGAAGTAGCAGACATTGTATCTGCCCACTTTCTCCTGTGCAGAATTCAGTCACAGGGTGGGGGGCAGAGGTGCACTGGGAAATGTCATCTGGACTGGGCACCCACTTCCAACAAACAACATGAGAGAAGGAAACCCCGATCTTCTGTGAGCAGCCAGCTGCCTCTGCCACCTGAACAACCTTCGAAACCAATCTCTTGCCCGTCGCTGGGCGTCTTAGTTACTTTTCAGATCACAATCGTCTGCTAATACCTGGGTACAAACATCTCCAAGTGACACCGTTTACTTTCTACATCTGTGAAAACTGCTAATCGTGGCTCTCTGCGGTCACAGACCCCTGCCCCACCTACCTGGGCAGCCAGCACCCTCCCTGACCTCTGTACTAGACTCCAGGCCTCACTGCAGGGCCATGTGTGAAGTCACAGACCTCCTTTGTGTCATTTTTATAAATGACTAACTTTTACTCCAAGGGTGTGTTTATTGGCCCCCAATCCGCCCCACTCTCCTTCTCCTGTTGGTCTACAGAGAAGGTTTGAAGGATTTGTTGGTTTGGAGGGTGTGGGATGAAAGGTAAAAAATACAGGCTTCCCAGATGCCCTGCAGGAAATCTGGGAAATTCTTTAGATTCCTGCTTCTAAAGGGTCATGGGCTGCTCTTTCAGGGTGGAAATGTGACACATTCCTGAATGCTTCCCTGTGTTTTGGACCTGGAGATTTACACCTCACTCCCACCCTGTCCTGACCTGCACACAAACACCACTCACACCACACAACATACACCCAACAAACCCACCCCCTACCACTCACACACACCCACATGCACACCTACATATACACACACCACACAGACCTATGTCACACACCCATGTATCACACCCCCCTGCTTTCGGCGGGTACCTCATCATTCTTGCCTGACAGAGGACAAGCTTCACTGTCACATCACTGCAGGAGATGGGATGGGTGGAGGTTAGTCCTGAAGATTAATCAAAATTACAGCTATCAGGGAAGTGCCTGAGCTGGGGCCCAGCTAGATGGTTATAGAGGAAGCCCCCAATCCTCACCCGTGCTGAGATGGGGCACCATCATCTGAAGTGTCCCGTCCTCTGACAGCACCCACCTGTGGTAGGAGTCCTGTGTACTCTTAATAAAAGCACAGAAATGATTATCCAAACACACACAGAGAAGAAGGGAAAAAAGGTTTATTTACAAGGGGAATGCAAAGAGGGAGGGGAGAGAGAGAGAGAGAGAGAGAGAGAGAGAGAGAGAGAGATTAACTGGCAGACATGTCCTACCAGCAACACCATCTGAATGAGACACAGGACACAAGTGGAAGCCAGAAGAGAGAGCAAGAGCACACGTGTTCAGTTTTACTGCTTGGTGGCCCCTGTTCCCAGCAGCCCCCTGTCAGGAAGTTGGGTTCATGGAATGCTGGGAGGTATAATCCTCAGCACCTGGGGTCTCCCCATTGTGGAGATGGGGGTAGAGTCTGTAAAGATGTCAAGGAGTGGAGTTGATTCAGGATGTCATTCTTTTTTTTTTTTTTTTTTTTTTAAATTATTTTTTTTTTAATAGAGGCATGTTTTATTTATTTATTTGTTTGTTTTGTTTACACATGCACTGGGTACAGTCAGAAGCGCGGGAGGGTGAGAGAATTCACCAGAGCCAAAGCGGGGAGCAGAGCAGGCAGAAGGACTGAAATACACTGCTGAGGGGAGCAGCGGGCGGCAGGAGAGGTCTGCACGCCATGTGGGACCCTCCTCTGGTGGCCGGGGAGCAGCCAGGGATCGAACCAGCGCCGCAGAGGCCGCAGGCAGCCTCGCAACCCAGAGCTCAACCGCTGCGCCATCGGGGAGGCCGCAGGATGTCATTCTGACTTGGCGTTTGCTCCTTACTGTTCCTCTGGCAATATGATTATATGCTTTATCCCACTTCATCCTTCCTGGCGGTGCTGGTAGGAGGCTAGCAAGCAGGGAACCCACTACACAATAAGCAAACTGAGGCTTAGAGCATGGGGTAACCTGCCTGAGGTCGCCAGCTAGTGTCTGGAGGTGGACTCTGTTAGGTTCTGTCTTCCAGGTGCTGTTGGTTTATGAGAACAGTCTAGCTGTGTTTTCTGAATCTGATTCCTCGAATGTTCACTCTGTCATAAGGTCTGTAATACCAAAACTAAAACCAAAAAAAAAAAAAAAAGCTAGCTGTGACCTACCCAGCAGGGCCTTAGGCCCCGCCTCCGCGTGATCACACCCATTCCGGATGGGGGGTGGTGACCAGGCTGGGCCAAGTGGAAAGTTCACAGTGTAATGTAAATGCAGAGCACACAGTCGCTCCTTTTCCCTCTCTCTCCTGGCCTCCCAGCCTGCCCAGGAAAAGGCCACTCCTGAGACAGGGCCATGTGGGACAGAGGGGTCACCTGAGAGTTGAGGACGGGGTCACACACTTGACCTTGATTTTCATGGACTTCCTGAAGCCCTCTCTTTTCCTCTGGCCTCTTGTGACTCCCCAGTAGCCACACGTGAGGCAGGTGTTCCCAAGGATGAGCTGAGGCACAGTCCTGGGGTTGTGGCAAGGATGGGAGCTGCCTGGGGTGGTGACAAACCTGGGCCTACCAGAGAGTGGTCCTGAGGTCCAGGGAGAAGCAGAGGCAGGGGCTGAGGAGTCTTCTTTTCCCAGATTTCATCTCTTTATCTAGGTACTGATCTCTCCCTGAGGCCCGAGGGGGCAGTGCAAGAGCCCGGAAATGAGTCTGTGCACCTGTACCTGCACCCTTCCTCCCAGACCTGAGCAGTGCTCAAGGGCAGATAGCAGGTGCGTTCAAAGAACACACGTCACCTACAGGGCCGAGCTCACCTGCATCTGCTGCCACAGCTCCACCAGCTGCCTAAAACCCTCCTTGGCTGCACTTTGCTCTGTGCAGGGCTGGCAGGTGTACCTGGAGAGGTGTCAGACATCTCCACCTGCCCAGTGACCCCAGCCCAGCTCTCCAACTGCTCAGCTCACTCTGCTCACCGGCCTCTTTGCTGTTCCTCTGACATCAGGGCCACATCCTGCTTCACGACTTCATAGCCACTGTTCCCCTACTGAGAACACCCCTCTGAATGCTTCGCTCTCTCACTTCCTTGTGGGCTCTGCTCTCCTAAGGTCCTTCCTGTTGATCTTACAAAAAGTACCCCCAGCATTTCCTACCCCCCTGGCCAATACAATGTTTTGTATATTTATCTTGTCTTTTCATTTCCCCCGCCCCTCCGGAATATCAAAAGCAAGCTCAGGGACTTAGCAGCTTTATTTTGTTTACAGACAGCACGTTGCTAGGGTGGCCTTGAAGGGAGAGCCAGGAGGCAGATTCATTTAGCGGCAAAGCCCATAGGCTGAGGGGACCTGGTAGAAGCGTCACTGTGCACCCCTGAGCCCCACACCTGAACCCGTGTCCTGTGGAGGAGAAGAGACTCTCAGGGTCTCAGGACAGGGTGAACAGTCCCCTCCAGGGCCTGACTTGGGGTGTGACTGCTGAAGTGGGCCAGCCGGAGTGGCAAGGTTTCTGTGGGGAAGTGCCCTTTTCTTCCCTGGGTGGGAGGCAGAAAACTGGTGATGGGGGAGGCCCCTGGTCTACACCTCCTTGCAGGTCCTCGCAAAGACCATGGGACCCTTGGGCTGCAGATACCCTTGGGGTCGGTCCTCTAGTCCAGGATGTTCAATTGCCTCCTAGCCCCTCCCTCAGGGAACCTGCCCGCCTCAGGAGAAACCAGGTACCTTTGGGTATGGGAGTGCAGCTTGCACTCTTTGCAAAGTGCATCTCTTTGCAAGAGTTATGAGGCGTGGGGAGGTGCAAGGCTCTGTAGCTGACCACTCAATCACTGGGGCCAGTGCTTGCGGTGGCCCAAAGGGTAGAAGACACGGACGTCACAACTCTTCACAAGGAAGTGATTCGGAAGAGTAGGCTTCTGAGTGTGGACAAGATTGTAGCAGTACCTCCACCACCTTACTTATGTTTTCCTTTTTGGATATGTCCAAAGCCTTTTTTTTTTTTTTAATAGAGGCATGTTTTATTTCTTTATTTATTTTATTTGTTTGTTTGTTTTTGTTTATACATGCACTGGGTAGAGTCAGAAGCGCGGGAGGGTGAGAGAATTCACCAGAGCCAGAGCGGGGAGCAGAGCAGGCAGAAGGACCGAAGTACACTGCTGAGGGGAGCAGCGGGCGGCAGGAGAGGTCTGCGCGCCATGTGGGACCCTCCTCCAGTGGCCGGGGAGCAGCCGGGGATCGAACTGGCGCCGCAGAGGCCGCTGGCAGCTTTGCAACCCAGCGCTCAACTGCCGTGCCACCGGGGAGGCCCATATGTCCAAAGTCTTTAAGTGATTCCAAGCGACATGAAATGGTTGCAGACTTTTGGGGGAAGCTTGGTGGGGCAGGACACTTTGAATTCTGATTCTGGGCCTAAGAGGATGCTATAACCTTGAGTAAGTTGTTAACACAGCAAAGATTTTGATTTCCTTAATTATATAATTGGCCCAGTGATGCCAGCTGGTGGGTAAGATGGGCATTGGGGGAGAGAAAACTGCTGAAAATAGTCTGGGTATATTTTGTAAGCTGAAAACCAATGAGACTCAATGACAGTCTGGCCATTTCTTTACTGGGAACAAAAGCATAACGATCAGATGGTTTCCTGTTCAGTCTTTCCGATAAGGCTTCACTCTGGCCCCTTGGGCTGTCAAAGAATCATTGTTGCAAATATAGTTTGTGTGTTTAAAAGTCTTGATTGTCAAGAGCTGGGCTGACCCCCAAAAGCTGGAAGCCCCACTAGGAAGGCAGTTCCTGCCAAAGGAGTAGGAGCTGCTGGAGGAAGCTCTGTGGGTTTATTTTCAGGAGGGACAGACAGCAAGCTGAGGAGCACAGTGTTGTACAGTAATCTGAGGCCCAGCAGTCCCTTGCCTTTACTTGGATATTTTCCCTGAGGCAGGAATGAAAAGGAACTGAGCTTTCTGTTTACCAGAATGCTGGGGCCAGAGCCCAGGCAGGAAGAGGAGAGGGTGGGACAGCTGTGTATTTAGACCAAATAGAATCTGTGGGCTGTGTTGGTAGTCTGGCCCCTGGCAGTGGGTCAGAATGGACCTCTGGGCCAAAGCCAAAAACTCCCCGTGGTAGAATAAGGCAGAGATTGGCAAACGATAGCCCATGGCCAAGTCTGGCCCACTACCTGACATTGTAAATAAAGCTTGATTGGAATATTACCATGCTCGAATGTTTATGTATTACCTGTGACTGCTTTCGTGCAGAGTTCATTGGTGTGACAGAGACTCTATGACCCAGAAAGCCTAAAATATTTATTATTTGGCCCAGTGCAGAGAGTTTGTTAGCTGTTAGAATGATGGAAAGGACAATGGGCTTGGTCT